TTACGTGGAAAGATAATCAATACAGGTTTAGATGGGCACCTTTCGGATCGCACTCTTTACCAGCATTCTTCCAAAAAGTAATAGAGGAAATGTTTGCAGACATGCCTAACGTACAAGTCTACATAGATGACATAGTCATCTTTTCTAAGACTAAGGGCGAACATGCCGCATTAATCAGACGAGTCCTTCAGAGACTCAACGAACAAAACTTCAAGATTAACGAGAAGAAATATCACTTCGTCATGAGCGAAATACAGCTCTTAGGCTACCATATATCTGGGGAAGGTATTAAAATCGTCCCCGGTAAGGTGGAACACCTGTTAGATTGGCGAACACCAACTACAGGAAGAGATATGAACAGCATGTGTGGGTTTGGAAACTTCTTTTCAGATGGAGTACCACACTTGGCTGATTACCTTATACCTTTTGGACACTTAAGATGTCATAAAGGCAAACTAGGAGACTTGTGGACTAAAGAGTGTGATGACGCATTTAAAGCGCTCAAGCACGCAGTCCAACAATCCCCTGTTGTACAAGGACCAGTCAATGGCGTGCCGTTTGAAATAGCAGCGGACGCCTCCGACTTAGCCCTAGGAGGAGTATTATATCAGGTTATAGATAACAAACCTAGATATATAAAATTCTTTAGTCGAGCGATGAATGCTTCACAGTTGAATTATCCGACTGTTAAACAAGAGCTATTAGCCATAGTGGCAGCTCTAACACACTTCCGAGATTACTTATACGGAACAGCATTTACGCTGATGTGTGATCAGAAATCTCTTCAATATATGAAAGAGATGAAACCCGACTCATAATTACTGGGTCGCTGGCATGATACAATATCAAAGTATAACATCTGCCAGGAATACATAGCCATTTACCGGATATGTTATCACGCTTCGTACCGGACTTTAATAAATCTGTACGTGAGTTACTAGCCACTGATTGGAAATGTAACCCCAGGTGGTTTGAACTGGCTCAAAAGATATTTGGGCCACATACCATAGATATGTTTGCTGTACATCATAATGCACAACTATCGAATTACAGGACTTTAAATCATCCTTTGGGAGACGCCTTTCAAATAGACCTCTCCAAACATACTGCATGGGCTAATCCACCATGGCAGTTAATTGCCCAGTCATTAAATTATGTTCATACATCACGTTGTGTTGCCCATTACGGAGTAAAGATCCATGGCTCAATAAATTATTAAGCATGATACAATGCGAGCCAATATATTTAGATAGGGAAGTAGATACTTTCCTATATCAGGGTACCCGAGCCGTCCAGAAGACGACCTGGAGACATACTATAAGATGTCGTATAGGTCCCATTGGAACAACCAAATGGACCCTTTCTGAGACCTTCCTTAACAAGGTCAAAGAATCAGAGATTCCACTCTCTACTAAATTGAACGTTAAGCAGTTCAAAGGCAACACAGCACTTGAAGTTTGTGCACAAGAAATACAATCTACTAATGACACCACAGTTAAGAAGCGTCAGTTTCTAGCTAGGACTCTGTTTAATAACAAAAAGTCCAAGCCTGAAGTCTTTCAAACCCTATTTTTAAAGGGATTAATGAAAGACAATCCTGAAGCATATAAACATATAATGCGACTATTAAATAAGTCAGGTGTATCAAACGCACACGAGCGCACTTATGAGACTTATGCAAAAGAAGGACAGGAGTCTGGAAACACTACAGACTTGGAGACCACGCAAGTGGAATCTCAACACCCTACCTTTATTCTAGAGGAGCAGAATAATAAAAACATTCTTGCTCGGCTGACGCAATACCATAAGCTGAAGCACCAGAACGTAGTAGACGCACTTAAAGATGCTAAGCGAAATGAGATCGCGCACCCTAAGCTGGCAACTTTAGTTGACAGAGTATATCAGTCATGTACAGACTGTGATCTCAATCAGATCAAGCGCTATGGGTTCGCACCACTTAAGAGTGTGGCCGAAGATGTTCCATGGCGCAGGGTCATCATTGATCTGGTTGACCTGCCTACGTCCGAGCACACAGGCGACCGTTACGTATGCCACTTCTTTGATGTGGCATCACGGTTTAACTTGCTCTATTCATTAAAGGATAAGAATACGCAGACCATGGCAGAATTATGTTGCCAAGTCTTTGCTGACCACGGGTGGCCAGGTATTGTGTGCTTTGATAACGGTACTAGAGTTCTGCGATGACAAAATGGAATCGCTAGTACTTGTATCAGGCATATGCCATAAGAGAGGTGTGGCATATAAACCGCAAACGTAAGGCGCGAATGAAATGCGCCATAGAAGACTTAACCACGGATGATGCAGATGATTGGCCGTACCACCTTAAGTGGGTACAAACACAGATGAACGAGTGTGCCGATCCGGTTAAAGGAACTACACCCGCTCACTATTTTCGTGGCAGATATAGTGAGTTACAAATACCCTTTAACAAGAACGAACATAATCACCATGAGTTACCATGGTTAGAGAAGGTACAACGTATTTATAACGTTGTATATCCTTGCTTGCGAGAAATACGCAATATAGACTTATTAAAAAAGCAAAAGCGTTGGAACACTACCAAGAAGATAGCAGAGTATCAGGTCGGTGACAGAGTTAACATCCGTCAACGTAATTCCGATGCTACTGTATTAACATCTAAATGGATAGGTACATATATAATCTCTGTAGCAGACACTAAAAGTGGAACGTACGAGGTAAATAACTCCGATGGTTCTAGTGCGCTTAATATAGGCACAAGTCGTATTCCGACTACAGAGATTATACTCGCAAGAAGACATGACTCTAATGCCCCTCTTGATCGTTCTGAATTTAAAGACATTATATGGAGAACGGATAAGGGAGGTTATACATACTATCGTACACGCTTTATAGACGGTACAATCGCTGAGTTGACCCCAGATGCTTTCGATAATCAAGACTATTTAAAAGCCTTTAATTGAAAATGGCGTAAACGCCTGCATAAGCCACAAACTGAAAAAGATAGCATGTTTCCATCGTCTGATGGCACGGAAGTTGAAACTTACCCGCCTACAGCATTGATTCCGAGCTTTAATGCTCATTCCTTCATATGTGCTTAAGACATTGAAGCGTAAGAAACGTCCAGTCGACCACCACGGACCTACTGGACCTAAGCCCAAAACTCACAGGGTAACCGAGAACGCTTAACTTCTCCGCCTGAGAAATATTAACTATATGTTATGCTACTTAATGTTTTCGACCCGTTTTTCCTTTCTCGCTTTTTGACTTATAATCAGCTCGAGTGAGCAACTTGCTTCTCCTGGGTCTCAAAGCTGGGTGGGGGCTGTGTAATAGCCGGGCCTCCACATTAGACTCTATGTTATAAACGTACTCTTAACCCTAAACCCTAAAACCCTAAACTATAAACGTACTCTTAATAGTACAAGGAACTTAAGTTTCCTAAATGGGGTTAAAAGGTTTTATTAATTAATACTTTTCCATTTTACATATCAGATATTTGGACAAGGCCATTAAAAGGCCCCAGTAAAATACCAAACATAAGATTTGGTCTAGTTCTATTAATAGAACTATATTTACTTTCCAAATCTATTTATATCTGAATACTTCGGTAGCGAGATGGCTCAACCGAATATAGGTTTCTAGGGACTATTAACGTTACCTAGTTTAACCTCCGTTCAGCTAACCATATGTGCCAGTCTGATGAAGGCTAAGTCGGTAATTCTTGATAAGTGGCAAGTTATTGGTTAATGCAAAAACTATGGACATCAAGAGTTTTTTTCTTTTTTTTCTTTTCTTTTTTCTAAAGATAGGTTTTTATGAGTCTCTCGGATTCGCCCCAACGAAACATACCATAGTTTCTAATAGAGCGACAACGTAACACTAAATAAAATCCCTTCGGCGAAAACAGTACTGAGAGGATTATATATAGGCAATGTCTCAGCTTCACAATCCCTCAGAGTATTGCTGTTTTCACGAGGCATACCTAACTTTACTAAAGACTCATTTCGTTTATTTTTTCGAATTTCACTATACTTAGATTTAACCTAAGCGTTTAATTACTCTAAGACGTTAATATCGCCTTGATAGACCGAATCTTACATGAGTAAGAGTCAACAGGGTGCTCGCCTGTACTCTCAGCATCTAAATAAACATACGTTCTATTCTGTCGACTGTGATGGTGCCAAGCAACACGCTAGTGAGGCTGCGGCTGCTCACCGACTTCAAAGTGCCTACGTAAAGCTCAGTGCTCCGTGTCCTCAGGGTTGCTCGCCACTAAGTTAGAGTCAACAGGGTGCTCGCCTTCACTCTAAGCATATAGATATACTTGCCACACACAACCAGCACTCGTATAACTAGACCGCACGATCCACTCCTGAGTAGATTCTCTGAACCTTCTACACTGGGATCGCCACTCATGGACGGGTTTTTCTGAACCTTCCGCGCTGGGCAATTGTGCCGGTCTTGTAATGTTTGATCGATTTCAATTCGGTTGTATTATGTGTGACGCACAGCGCCGTATACTTGTGTGTATTTTAATATTATTTGCATTACCACGTAGTGTTTTGCTACGATAAGCCATGCCTTTGTATGATTGATGTTCTGTATATGTCTACCAGCAGTGTGTCAGCTAGTGTGTATGTTTTATGTATGTTGTGTCTCGGCTATCATAACTTAATTAAAATAAACGTATTCTATCTAATAATATAATAATAATTGTATGTGTTGCTATGTTTGATTCAAAATTTGGCGAGATTGTGTGCGTATGTAAATATCCTATATCTCGATGATATACCGTCTATGCAACTGTTCTTGACACGCGCATACCTGTAATTAACTTTCTGTGCTGTCGCTTTGCGTAACGTCGCCGCCTTGGTCCTCCATACCACTGTCCAAGGCAGCTCTTACCTTAAATTATCTGGCCTTGCAATCGACTGTATCCCGTGCATTCGTGAAGACGTAATCAACTGGTAGTTCGCTTGTGTCACCAACAATAGCATCTATTTCTGTGTTTGATTGTCGCCCCGCCTATCTTCGGCGACGCGGAACACCATCTCGCCGTTGTAATCCGCCTCCAGTCTCGACAAATCCTCTAGCGGTAACTCCTCAGCATAGTATTCCAGTATCAATCCTTCTTCCGGCCACAGCAGTTTCTCCCGCGGCAGCACAAAAATCCCATTAGCAAAGAAACTATCCACAGCAGTCTCTCCCGCGGCAGCACCAAATCCCAATAACAAAGAACCGACCCACAGCAGTTTCTCCCGCGGCAGCATCAAAGTCCCTTGGAAAAACAGCGATTCCTCATCAAGCCATAGCACGTCCTCTCACGGTAACGCCACCGCTCGACAGTCAATTGTCGACCCATCGTCAAGCCACATCGCGTTGTCGTCCAACTTTAGACGTATCACCTTATAAAAAACGTCCTGGTCACCTTCACACTGCTTCATAATTGTTTGCGTTATACTCGTCAGCGCACAGCAAAGTTTTCGATTGTAACTGATTGATGTCCCCAGCACCATGTTATGCATTGTAATACCCACAACCCCATAGTGTCTTCTCAGCATAGAAACACTAACCGTGGCTCCTGGATAACGTATCGTCTATGTCACCTCTCTGACACCTAAAATGAATTTGTACTCGTGGAATTGGCGTCAGCACCGTGTAAAGAGCTCCGTGTGCGTAAAACTCTCGGAGTAAAAAAATACTTGCTGATGAACCCTTGTGTCCATAGTAGAATTAATAGCTACACAAAAACGTTTCCCCGTCATGTGTGTCATACCTCGTCTATTCTAAGTAACTTATTTCCGCACATATATTTGAAACTACGTCACCCAGTGTGGTATGTACATCTTGTCTTACCCACTTTCCCCCTGGTCGTAGTATACCACAGTTGATCGACAGTCGCCTCTCTACCCAGCCATGCACCAGTACTCACAAATCACCCCTTTGCGAGTGGTTGACATTTTCTGCAGAATTTTGCACCAAACACGGACATATCCTTGGAAACATTCGCACTATGTTTGTGTGCCATATTTTGTATATAAAAATATATGTAGAGTATATATCTTTCATCCACGCGAAAGAGCCACGCCATTGGCAGCATGAATGACTAGCCGCATGTGTTGTAGGTGCTGTGTTCGCAAACGAATCATACGCATGTGTCTATGACACCAGTCAAGCAATTTGCCAAGCAGTCACATACGTATGCGCCACACCTCATATATATATATATATATATATATATATATATGACCATGCTACCAGCAGTGCCGCCTGCGGCATAAGTACTCACTGGCTTGCAGATGATCGCACATCGTATATGCTAGCACATTTTGTAAGCAATACTGAGAGTAGCCTTACTCCTCTATCGAATGATTGGAAGGCTTGTAACTGACGGACCTTATTTCAAAGTGTATTGACTGAAGTCATCCTACACATAGGTAATGTCGTCATCACCAGACCTTATACGCCACCGCCAGTCTCTACCTCGCCGCCAGACGAGGTGCCGTCGCGTCATGTCACCTAAATATGAAAAAAAATGTGATATTTTCCAAATTTGTTCTACGAACTTTCTGTTAGTGTCCGCCAATGCGTTGAATATTCCTACAGCTGTGATACCGACGGTTATTGACGTACTTGTGAAATTTACATCCAAGCTCACCCCCCAACCTTAGTATTCCATCTTCGACAGGTTGAATATGTGACCTTTTCAATTTGAACCTGTTGTACGAACGACATATATCGTCTTAAAATTACAAGTTAGCTCTGTGCCATTTCTACCCAGTACTAGCTTGTAGTGTTTTCCTTTAGCCACCAGCATATATTTAAACTGCATTAATCACGTCCATGAGCTCGTGCACAGTGATGGCTGGCTCAGCCCTAGACGGATAAAGAATATGAAGTAATCCCATGCGTATAGCTGGTAAGTTCAGAACTTGTAGAATTCGGTCGGCTCCTGTACAATTTTTTCGTGAGTCACTCTCGATCGTATGGTCCGTATCCTATCAGATGTAATATTGCCCTAGGACAAGCCAACCCATATACGAAACCCCCCCCCCCCCCAAAAAAAAAATAATATTTATTTGATTTCGTAGCCGAAGCAACAAAATGACCTCTTTAGAGTTTTTCACAAGTGTCATCAGCCCTAAGCTGTCGTTCCGCTTGATAACCCCTTTCATATGTTGTATGGTCTTATCCAACGCGGAATTCGATTGTTGAATCTCAGATAATAGAGTGGTCTAGCGTAGTATAGACCTCTGCTTTGGTATTTCACCCGGTATTAAGTCAGAGGAAAATAATGTCGCCACCTCATCAGTATGAAATGGCGGCTGCAGATGAATTCTCACCAGTTGTTTCAACAATCGAATACAGGCTTTCTTGCACACGCAGTAACTTTATTCATCGTGTAACAAAAAATTACATAGCTAATCAATCTTAGTTTAACCTGTGAGGAACGTAATGTAATAAACGGTAACTTAAAAATGTGGTCAAAACCAAGTAACACTTAATAAAGAGTGTTAAGTCTGAAATAAGTGAACTCTGTCAGAAGTGCCATTGGGAATGGCGCGCCTGCTATATTTATTAATCACGACTCTATGTGGAACGAGACTTTCTCTATCATCGGGTCATGTGAAAATACCCGTCTCTATGGTTTCGGATGAGTCGTCACTTCTATCTCATTAAATTCTCTATTCCACTAGTGTTTCTGAAATACGGCCTCCGGTCAATCTATAATATCAAGATCAAATGAGATAACACATTGGTTTTTATTTGTATTTAAAATAATTTAGTACAAGTTCTTTTTCCAATATTTCCAAAGTGTTCTAAATTCACTTTGATGGATCCAATAGCCTGATTATTTGGGATGACTCATTTACTTGGACCAATTTGAGACGATAGTAGATGTAGGATATTTTAAACCAAATTTTATAATCTCTGAACTACTACTTACAGGTTTTGGTTTTCCCGCCAATCTCCAAAATCCAATAAGTCTTTCCCTTTTTTAACTTTTCTTCAGATGGAACTTTATTTATATTAGCTAATGTATTAACTTGACATACGTTCTTATGTCTATCTGCAAATTAGACATATGGTCATGAACACTTAGTACTTCTAGTGAAAATTATTCAATAAAGAACAGCTATAAGTACGTCCTGTGTGATCGAGGATATTAAGGCTCTTACCAAGAGGCAGTCCCGATCATTCTTACACAAGCTACCACTGCTAAATCCTAACTGACTTAAATCGTATCTTAGTTTATATAACGTAGTTTAAAACATAGAAATATCCATCGAAGTTTACATATTTTTCAGTTATTTAGTAGTTATCGTAGTGTACTGCTTCTAGGCTGTCTAACAATTGCTTACTATCCAGCGACAGAACTGTAAGTATTCTATACTACCTCATAGTGGCTAATACTACCCTAAAGTTAGCTACACGCTAGTTACTATACCTAAACTTTGTTAATTTTCCTATTCTTGGGCTATTACTATGGCTAAAGGAAATTCTAAAGGCAAGGGAGCCGCCAGCTCTAAGCCTGCTAAGCCAGTTGAGGTTCCTGAGGTTACTGGGGACACTGGTCCGTCTGGTATTGAGCCTGCCGTTGAAGTTGTAGAAGAAGCCGTTTCTGAGCTTTGTTCTGAGGAAAACTCTGAGGATGACTCGTCGGACCCTAAAGCCTTGGAAGTGGAGGTCTCAACTGCCGCAGAAAGGCTCGCCAGCGTCCGTGTGTCTCATAATAGTGCAGCCCGGGGCCTCAGCTCGCCATCTGACCGCGAAAAGTCAGATATTGGAAAGGCTATATCTCCTGAACAAGTGGAGGAATCGTCTCGAGATCGACGGTTTATTACTACTAAAAGTCAGTCCAATCTACCTATTAATAAAGATGGTGGCGTTCTATTTCGTGAAATTTCATTGAATGCCTCGACACTGAATGCCTCGACACTGAATGCCTCGCCACTGAATGTTGGCGCGAAATTCGCTTGGGGACGCCATAACTCGACAACGAGTGGTTGGATCTTCTCAATCTCGACCCCATTTGAACCGCAAAGATGAGCTTTTAAAGGAGCTAGCCGCTGCCGCAGCTTCTGACCCTTCGATCACATCCCACGTGGCCGATATTATTCCTATAACGAAGAAAAAAAGATTCCGAGCCGGGTTTCAAATCTGGGACCCACTGGTTTACCAGCCAGCAGGGTTACCACTGAGCCAGTTACCGCTGGTAAAGTAGGTAAAACCTCAAGATTTAATCTCTATAACTCGGAAACTACAATCGACCATCCTCTCGACAAACCTAACCCGGTCAGAGGCTATGATCGTATGGAAATCGATGAGGCTTACAACCCTCATAACATCGATTCTCATTTACCATCTAACCCTGATAATCACGACTTTGGTAATCGTTATACCAGTACCACTAGAGAGTACCCACTCTAGCTCTGAAGACGAGGGAGTGAGAACCAGACAATATCGTCTCAGTTCTGGTATGCAAGTCCTTGAAGACCGTCTATTGAATGGCTCTGACCTTGACGATAAGAAAGTGGATAACATTTGCTATTTAATCGATAACAAGAGAAAGGAGATAGACTCCTTCTTGGCACTAGCAGCCCGTAGCACTGAGCGTGAGTCTCGTGAATGTTTCGAACAAAGCTTTATAAAGCAGCTAGGTAACGCGAAGGCTGAGGTCGATTTCTCTACTAATGAGCGTACAGTGGAGACACTGAAGGCCCTTTACCAACTTGAGGAATGGAAAACTATCTTGAAGGCCCATGAGCCCAACTGGAAAGCCCTACCCTGGCCCCAGTTGCGTGAGAATATACTTAACGCCTTCTTTGAAGATGTACGTGAACGTGAACTTCTAGAGTCTCGCAAGTCCATTGCGAACGATACTACTATTCGAGGTGCTCCAGCTCATATGACACATGAACACTCGGATGGGAGGTCGTACCTATACTGGCGAATACTTATTAATTTGTCAGATGATGGAGACTCTGGGGGCTAACCTTTTTAAGAAGGTTAATGATGATATTATCGCCTATGGTGATTTGCGATCTATGCCTTGGTCTGTCTTTGAGAAGATAGTTCAAAAGCATACCAACCTATCTACTAGAGTACTTTGTACCTCGAGCTTTACCCAGCCCGATAAGCGTACCGCGATAGAGAATAACACTGCGCGTAATACTAAGAAACCTCGCACTACTGCTGGAGGTGGTAAAGACTCTACTTCTACAGAACCAAAGGGTGAAAGGAAGGAGAGAGCACCTTGCAAGAAGTG